GATCATCGGCTATGCCAGGTAAGTAAGATGCCAGGCTGGCTTGGATTTATTCCCTTCTCCCAGCAGTAAATTTAATAGATCAGTAGAGCTTTCTCAGGAATATGTGTCCAGCTCTACACGTGTAGTGTGTGTAAGCAGATACTGCATTTAACTGAAGCAGTCCTCCTTGGAATATAAAATGGTTGTTATAACCCAGTATTCTATTAAAATAAATAAGAAAGCACCTGGATTGTTTGAATCCACCCTACACTTCTGAACGATGCAGCTGCTCTGTGGAGCTCTGCCTGCCTCCAGAAGAAATGAAGCACTGGTTGTTAGCAGGAACTGGTGCTTGGTTCCATCAGGGCAGGTGAACCCAGCCTTCACGGTTCAACATGTCTGCGTCACTGAAACCAGGGAAAAATCCTGGCTTTCTTATTCCAGCCTGTGGCTGCCTGCCATAAAACTGGTTTGTGCTCCAAAATCTGTTGCCTGTGTGACATAATCCTGGTTTTCTGTGATATGGACTCTGGTTTGGGGGGTTTTTCCTCACTGTGAATTTTTTTTTTTTCCTTTTCCCCCTCCTCACTCTCTCCGGTTTGTGTTCCCCTCCTCCCCCCGTACAACATGCAGGAATCCATCTCTCAAGCAGCAGCTTTTCTCCTATGCCATCCTGGGCTTTGCCCTGTCCGAGGCCATGGGGCTCTTCTGTTTGATGGTGGCATTCCTTATCCTCTTCGCTATGTGACAACTTCTGGTCCTGGCTGCGGCTTCCATCACTCTGTCCTCTGCGGTTTGAGTCTGCTTCCATCAGAGCGTTCCAGACTGACAATTAAAGAAAAGATTTCTCTAAATAAACTGGTGGCTTTATTTTTTTTTTTTCCTTATGTTCTGGTCCAGTGGTGGGGAAATCCTTGGGTGAGTTGATGTATCAGTTGAAGAGGGTAATATCCCAGGTAGGGGGGTACCCACTGATAAAGGAGAAGGGGAATATGAAATGGTGGTGGGAGAGGAGGAAAACTAACGTGAAGTCAGCTAGAGAAGAGAGGTTGTCCTTGAACAGCTCAAATCTATGCAAAAATCCCGACAAGCGTTGCCCTGGTAAAGCAAATGCTTCTAGGTGAGCTGACAAAGCGTTGTTTTTTTCCACGTACTGTTGTTGAAAATGCCACGTCTTTCTTTTGCATCTGAAAGACGGGATGTAGAAAAGGTGATGGGTACAGGTGCGTGTGCTTAGGAGTGTATTAATGGTGTCTGCATAACTAAATTGCCAGTAAGTACACAGGGGCACGCACTGCCATATCATCCGAATTTTCTCTCACAAAGAAGAGCTGGTGTTAAGGTCACACTATTCACGTACCTCCTCAAAGCATCAGTTTACACAAAGCACTACAGCTGAGTTCTGTTTCTTTTTTTCCCCCAACAGTTAGATGCTTCAGCTGTTTTAGAGATTGGTGTGTACTAGAGAGGAGCAGTTCTACAATATAACCTGGCTCTTGGGCCTTGTGGTAGGGCAGCTGTGCCTGCCAGGAAGGTGAGTGCTGGGGGAGCTTGCCTGCTTATCTGCTTTAGGTAATGGAATTAATGCAGCTACTCGGCGTGCTTAAAGCCTCTGAAGCGTGGCTGTGACCTGCCTGGGGATAGGGACGGGTACGGGAGCTGCTCTGTTCCTTCAGGAACAGTGTGGCCAGCAGGACCAGGGAGGTGATGGTGCCCCTGTGCTGGGCACTGGTGAGGCCGCCCCTCGAATGCTGTGCTCAGCGCTGGGCCCCTCACCCCAAGGCGGCCATGGAGGGGCTGGAGCGTGGCCAGAGCAGGGCAGCGAGGCTGGGGCAGGGGCTGGAGCCCAAGGCTGGGGAGGACAGGTTTGGGTTGGGTATTGGGAAAAATTTCTTCCCCCAAAGGGCTGTCAGGCCCTGGCCCAGGCTGCCCCGGGCAGGGGCTGAGTCCCCGTCCCTGGGGGGATTTAAAAGCCGGGGAGATGTGGTGCTGAGGGACATGGGTTAGAGCTGGACCCGGCAGTTAGGTTAACAGTTGGACTCGATGATCTTAAGGGTCCTTTCCAACCTTAATGATTCTATGATTCGTTTGCAATAGCTGCTTACGCCTGGTGAGGTCAAGGGGTGCTGAGAAGAATTTGACTCTTAAACCGGCCCTGAGATTTCTTGGAGAAACGTGGCTCTGAAACCAAAAAGAGCTCAAGGGAGTCTCGCTGGCTGAACGAGAGAGCAAAAATCCTACGCCTGCAGCCAGGCTGGCTCCTGGGAACAAACGTGTAACCCTGCAGCAGCGATGCGGTGCTCTGGGAGTGTCCCCAGACAGCGGGCGGTGGCCATGGGTGTCAGGCGCTCAACACCTACCGCCTCAGGAAAGCAACAGTTACCTGCGGCCAAGCCAGTTACGTTTATTCACCCTTACACGTGTGAAACTGTGCATAAATAACTTCTGTAAAGCAAAAGTAACCTTGGAACTACGACGGTCGCTCGCAGTCGCTGTAGGTAGCAGAGGCGGCTCTGGGGGGGGGGGGGGGGGGGGGGGGCTCCTCGTAGGCCAGAAGCAGCGCTGCTGGTTTCCTGCGAGCCGCAGGAACGCCTTCCCCCCTCGCACGGGCACGGCTGCCGGAGCCGCCCCCCC